GGAGAGGAGAGGAGAGGAGAGGAGAGTTGGACATTTTCTTTACAATAAAAACAAGGGCTCCACCTCAGTGCGAGCGGAGTCTGGGGTCCCCTAAAAATACCCATCTAGAGAGAGAGCTGGAGGGACAGAGCAGGAGAGAAGGGACATGGGCTTGTACAATGGCATCTTCCCGATCTGAGCTGCAGTCTGCGGGATCTCAGCTTCTCCTAGACTTCGAGTGCTGGATAAGCCACTGTAGGGTGATGTCTGTGAAGGCAAGGGGACACTTACAGCCTGTCCCTCTGGCTGTCACCCCCTCCTGGGCACGCTGCTCCCAATGGGCACAGGCTGTCCCCCCCCTGCCACACCCTGACCCCGCACTGGAGCAGTCGGTACTCACCAATGTTGTCCTTTTCTTTGCAGGAGATGGAGTAGCAACAAATCTCTCGGTCCTGGATGGCAGAAAGGTTCCTGCAGGAGAGTGAGCTGTGGCTGCAGACCCCCAGGGCTACATTTCGGCAGCGATGGGAGATGCCTCCAGGCAGCCTTTTGAAGGTCCCTTTGGACCCTGACTCCAAGACAGGGGACACTTTGCAGGGGCAACATCTCCCCAGGCTCCCAGGGACCTGCATGTGGGTTGGGTGAGGACACCAGCACACTGTGCCCAAGACTGATGGCCATGCACGGTCTGTGGGGGCTACAGATGGGGCAGGATGGACCCGACCCCATGGAGAGCCTGGCCACAAAATCACACAGCTTCCTCCCTAAACCTCGGTTGCACAGCACTGCGGCGAGATGGGGCAGGGAGGGTTTGGAAGCAGCACAAGGGCCACAGCACCGGAGCAGAGGAGACCTCGAGGGGTGGCCGGGGGGAGCAGAGGTGCTGCGAGTCAGTGCAGCATCCCAGTCCCCCATTTGCAGGGGAGAGAATCACCGCTGGCAGCATGGAGGTGGGCAGGAGGCAGTGCTGGATGAGGAGGCCACGGACCAGCGTGGCAAAGGGTGGAGAAATAAGGGAGAGGTACATGGGTGGCGTCACACGCCAGAGGAGGATCCGACCTCCAAGCACCAAGGGCTGCTGGGTGTGCAGCACCCACACCAGCAGCGGGACAGAGCATGAGGGTGGTGGGAGCAGCACCCAGGCGGGAGCTCAGCTCCAGCTCCAGCTCCAGAACACAGCACTGCGCCCGGACAGGCCCCAACGCCACCGTGTGGCACATGGGACCCAGCCCTGGCACTGGTGGCCACAGCTCCCAGCTCCTCCCCATCCCCACAAGCACAGAGATTTCACCTCCATGGGCTGCTTGCTGCCATGGGATGTCCCCAGCCACCCATCTCTGCCAGCCCCCCTCACCCCAGGCACGGCAATGCTGGGGCAAGGAGCACTGGCAGAGCATGGCAGGGTGACTGTGCCAGTGGGGACATGACAGTAACAGGGGGTCACACTGTGTCACAGCCCCACCGCGGCCACGTGGGGTCACTGGCACACTTACATCTTCTCAATGAGCTCCTTCTCATCCAAGGCACCGGGCAGGTCTCGCTTGTTCCCCAGGACTAGGACCTGCAGGGCGGGAGAGCGGACACTTGAAGCTCCTGCCCACCACACTGTCAGGAACCTGCTTCTGCCATCCAGAAGCACACCCTGCTTGAGATGCAAGACAGCCCTGGTCCCTTCACTAGGGTGTGCCCAGATGGAGAAAACCCCTTCAGCTGGCAATCAGAAGGCACAGCACCTTAATTAACAGCCTTAATTAGCTTGTATACAGCATCTCCTGTATACTCTAGTCCAGCAAGAAGCTGGCCTCACATCACACCCTCCCTGAAAGGCACCAGCATCTGTTGTGCCATCTAGGATGTTCTTCCAGAAGCCTCTTGCTGTCTTTGAGCAAAAAGTCAAGTGAAATGGCTAAAGTCGATGTTATGAGGGGAATGTTATCATTCTGTGATTCTGTGATTCTGTGATGAGGAAGAGATGCAGATGCTGTGCAGAACCTGCTCTCTGCAGGCAGCCAGCCCAAAAAAGCAACGGCTGTTTGCATCATCCACTGATCTCTCCTTACTTCAAGGCTTTTCATATCCACAAAGGCATCCTCAGACTATGCAAGGAAAATAATCACTCAGCAGGACTCGTTCATCCCTCTGGAGCGCACCACACGACTGTCATCTGACAAGAACAGCACTGAGGCTGCGGCCGCCTTCCCGGGGTGAGCCAGGGCCTCTGCAGCAGCAGGGTAACGCAGCATCCCCCGATTTAAATTTGGAGATTTGTTCTCAAAAAAGAGCACTCAGAAGGGCATTGTTGTTGGGAGCTTAATTTAGTGGGCAGTGAACATTTGGGATCTGTGGCAAGATCTTCAATTAGCCCCTTCAAAAGGACATAGATTTTGATGCTCCATAAGCATCTGGCCCCAGCACGCGCAGTGTGCCCCACGCTGCCGCCGCTCCTGCTGCTCAAACCACCCCACCCCCTGCCAATGTCACAGCCCAACTACGAGATGAGACCTTCATGTCCCACCATAAATAAGGTGCAAATTCATGCGACAGGACAGATCTCACATATTGGAGGGTTTTTTTGGTCTCTTCTAAAGCTCCCTTCCCTGCTGGTTGGCCCAGCCCTGGGCTAGAAGGCATCACTTCCCCAGCTCCCACAGGAGGGCAGGGGGAAAGGGGACCTTCCCAAGGAAGGGGACCCACCCCCTCAATCTGCTCTGTAGTGTGCAAGCCCCTCGCTGCAAACCCTGGCAGCCACCGGCCTGGGGATGATGAGTGGCTGGGGAATCCTATCCAGGCAAGAGCTCACCGGGATGCCCTGGAGCTGCGGCTTGTCGAGCAGGTTGTGCAGTTCATTCTTGGAGGCCTCTATCTTCTCCTGGTCGGCGGCATCCACCATGTACCTGCAAGGGAAGGGACACACCTGAGCACAAGCACTGAGATTCCCACACCCCGGTGCTCTGCTGAGTTTTGTGCCACAAACAAAGCTTGCTCACATGGCAGCTGCATCATTCCCACTGTCACCTGGGCCAGTGCGTGGAGGTGATGGATAATGGGATCCTTCCCCCAGGACCCTTCTTAAGGAAGACTGTGGGGCTGAGAGCCTCTCATGTCTCCCAGGGGATTGGGGACATCCTTGTTCCTATCCCCACAGAGTCCCACCCTGTTGACTGCAGGGACACAGCGGGCAAGGGGAGCCCAGGCACTGCCTGGGTAGAAGAAGCTGCAAAACACACATTGTCCCCAAGTGCCCAAGTACAGCTCATGTCCTTTTGGCAGCTCCTTATGAGACACCCAGAATAGAGGGCAACAAGGGGAGAAGACAAGAAGAGCTGATGATGGAGGAGAACATGAGATCCTGGCAGAGGGAAGGACCTGCTAATCTTCTCTACAGGAGCAATCTTGGGCACAGGGCACAGAGCAAAGGGCAGGTGAAGCCAGCAGTCCACGATGCTTGCTCTGAGCTGATGGGAGATTTAGGGACAGATTTGGCTCTTATGGGCAGACACCCGTCCTGCAAAGGACATAAGTGAAGCCAACACTGGGGAGAGGAACTGATCAAAGCAGCCTTTAATTTAAAGATAAAGAAGCTGGGAAAGACGGATGGTGAGAAACACCATCAAGCTTCATCAGGCCTTGTGAGGTTTATTAAAAATAAAGGCTCTTTTCGTGCCTTTAGCTACTGAAGCTCTGAACACAGGAAAATGTGTACGGCTGACCAAGAGAGAGAGCGAAAAACACGAGCCAGGCACTGCCATGAGCCATTGTCATGCTGGATGGGGCAGGAGGGCTGAAGGCAAAGGAAAAGGGACACAACGCACCTGGAGGTGAGGAAGGCAGACTGGAGCATGACCTGGATGGCCACAGGTCCGTCCGCTTCCTTTCAACCACACGGGCCACTTTGGAAAAATTATGAATTTATGAAAGGAGGCAGTAAAAGGACTGAAATAAACGGGATTTTGTCATTTTCAGCAAAGCTTGCTGTAATAAAAAGCGTCAAGTAGATGTCCTGACATGGCGACCATCAGCAAGTACAGGATCAGACACTGCTGTCCCAACAAACAGGACAAGTGGTTCCTCACTCCTCCTCACATGCCAGATCTACAAATGGAAAGGGCAATACAGAAACCCAGCTCTCCAAAATCTCAGGTCATTGTCAATGGATGAAGATCAATGAAAAATCAAATGTGATTTTCTAGTTGGGTTTAAGCAACACCGACGTGGTCTTCTGGGGTAAATTCTTGTCCTTAGGATCAAGTAGCCGGCTTCCCATGAGCATCTTGCCAGGCTCATCCCCAGCCTGGACTCCCTGGGACTGCACTTACTGCAATGTTTGCAAGCAGGGGACACGTGGGGACACTCAAGAGACTTGCTGACGGTCAGCAGTGGACACTGCAGGGAGACTTCTTCTCTCAGCACAAGATTGATATGGCAGTACATAAACACCACGACCTCGAAACGTGCTGCTGGTGGCTGCGCTTAAAACCAGGATCTTGGAAAAGGCTGAGCCACAGCAATGGCCTTTGCTCAGCCCCTGCAAGGAACAGGCAGCGCAGGGGAAGCACGGGAGCCAGGAAGGGCAAGATCCGAGGAACAGAGCTGGGCCAAGTGATGCTGGAAGGTCTGCAACGGCTGGCGGGGACCTGGCTGCCCTGGGCTCAAAGCCTGGGGGGCACCAGTCCCAGGGGGAAGCATCTCAACTCCCATCACGGCCTCTGGCAGTGAAGGCAGCACAGCTCCCTCAGCCCAGCCCTGCCCAGCACCCTTGGGTGGGGCGGTGGGACTGTGTGCCCACTCACTGGTGAGGCTCAGCATCAGTGCGTGGATGACGGGGCTCCTGGCTCCCAGGGATACTCACACGATGGCACTCACTCCGCGGCAGTACCGCTCCCACATGCTGCGAAA